CCGAAACCCGTTGTTTTGGGGTTTTAAAACAAAGGAGGAAAAAAAGTTGGGGAAACGGGAAATTTTTTTTCGGGGGGGGGGGGGGGGGGGCACACGGTGCTGCTGATCACCGGTCCCTTTTATCGTTGGAGTGAAGGTTGGTTTGTTTTGGTTGATGTAGGGGCTGCGATTGGTTGGGAACCATCATCTTCCTCATCCCCAATCTCCAACTCCGCCCGCCAGCGAGAGCGCAAGAGGATGCACCACAACAACACCACGCAGCTTTCCCCTTTTGGGTCAAGCTCCGGGACCAGCAGCATCATTGTACATGTACAGTAGTGTGTTCTTGATACCCACCTACCGACCCACTCCCTTCCCCCTATGCATCTTACAGCAGGGCATTCTATACCCCTCCCCCCCCCGTCCCCTCTGGCCCGGTGAGAATTGGTGTGCTCCGCCCCGGCTTTATAGGGATGCGAGGTCAATGGTCTAACGACTACGGCGTGCACGACTATGAGCACCTCCCCCCCCCCCCTCTCCCGTCCCCCCATCCATCGAACAGCGGTGGAAAGCAAGCGAGGTCACCAGCGATTTGTCAATCATGTTTGGTTTGACACCCCGAACGAAGCCCTCGCCTCGGCACGCGAAGGGGCAGGCCGCAGGCAGCAAGGACGGCGGAGAGTTTCCGGCCGTGGGGAGGCGCGTTCGTACGCTTCCAAAGGGGCTCCTGGGTGTTGTACGGTGAGGACGAGCGACGGGGGGGATACTCATGTATTGAATGCCTTAGCGGTTAGACTTTATCCTCGAGAGGACGGAGCATTGTTCCCACAGGACCAATCACCGACGGTCAATCGTTTCTTCCTACTTTGCCAGGGGGGAGGGGGGAGGGATTTTTTTCTCATGTGAGTGAGGAGAGAGTGTCCGTAGGAAAACAACATTGCGGGTATTGGAGTGCAGCGCCATCAGCACAGGATACGGTGTAAGTACCCCGCTGTAGTGAGCGTTGCTGGAGCGAGTGCTGCGGGAAAGGTGCAGGAGGAACGTGGGTGTTGCAAAAAGCGTGCGAGAGTGTTCGGTTCCCGGCTCCCACATGAGCACCTCGTTCTTTTCAACGTGAGAATGCACTCCAAGACCTCGATTTGAGGAAGCGTGTGGTGAATCGTGAAGGTTGGGCCGCACCGGTGATCGTCCGCCCCTAATGCCTACACGTCCGTTCGATCCTTCTTCCTCTCTGAGAGTGCGGGCATGGCAACATCTCTACATCTCTACATCTCTCTCCGCCGGGCCACCCGTGACCGCATGGGAATACGAATACTCTCCCCCCCCCTCTCCCCCGCCGTCACCCCCAACTACCCTCGGCTGAAGCAAGGTACTTGTCGATAAAATCCCAATGCGGATCGCTGTACCTAGCATAGTACAAGCCCGGTACACGATGTCATGCAATAATGCCATGCGCCGTTCTGCCCGATATTTTTTGGCGCCTTGTTTCGATCTCTGCCCGTTAAGTTGGGTGGGTCCCACCCACTTCTCGGCCGGAGTGTGGGTCGGCGTGGAGCTGGACACGTGCGACGGCAGGAACGACGGGGAGGTTCAGGGTACGCGGTACTTCACGTGCTCGGCGGGACACGGCGTGTTTGTCAGGTGGGCCGTTGACGATGATGGTGATGGTGGTAATGATGGTGGTAATTGTGGTGGTGGTGGTGGTGGTGGTGATGATAGTCTTTCGGGCCGTCCGTTTACGAACAGACTCGTGCATGTTTATTTCCTACCATACAGAGTCTAATTTACTCGCCGAACACCTGGCGCCTGCACGTTGCAAGCGGGAGTTTTTCCACCTACCCTCCTATGCGATATGTAAGACAGGCATGGTTTGTCTGTGAAGAAACACAGGTGTCGCGATCCACGTAGAGCGGGTGTTATTTGCTGTTGTTATGTGTTTGTTTTGTTAATATGTATCGACCGCGCTACAATACCCGGCGAACTGATAACAAGACGTCTGTGCCAACGGGTCAAATTGACTTCCCTGGAACGGGACCAATATTCGATGAATACTGGTGATCTCTTTGTTTTTTCTCCATGTTTTTGTAATGTTTGGAGCGAAATTTCTAGACGCATGGTGGCCCTTCAACATCTCGTTTTTTTTTTTTACCAAAAGAAGAAGAAGGTCGAAAGTTATGTACAGGCATCCCCATTTTTTGTTGCTCCTTAACGCGCACTAACCCTCGTTACAAGCAGCACGTACATTCACACCCACCCCTATCTTATGCACCGGAAATGCTCGTTCTTTTCTTCGTGCGGTGCGTCGTCTTGGTCGACTCGCAGGCCCGACAATGTATCCCCCACCAAAGAGGGCGCCTCGACGGCTGCACCACCGACACCCGCTTCCTCCGCAGATCGACGACGGCCGAACCCTGGAGGTCCAGAATTAACACCGGTAAGGCGGGGAGGGGGGGGGGGGGCGTACTCATGTTTTGCATGCCTTAGTTGTCGGGCCACGCGTCCTCGAGAGGACGGAGCATTGTTTCCCCCCACAGGGCCAGTCACCGATTCCTACTTTGCCAAGGGTGGCTAGAAAATGTTTTCCCTGCCCAATGCTGTCCTATCGCTTCCCGCCTTTTGAGGAGGGGGAGCGGGGACGTAGGTGTGCCGGGTGTGATAGCCAACCGCAAAGATGGACAGAGAGACACAAGGCGCGTGGTTACGTACTAGTTTCGTTTTTTGCTTTTGGGTTCTGTTTTCAAGGCGTCGCCTCCAGGCACCCCTACCGTGATGGACAGAGACACACACCGTGTGGTACGACGTATTTTCAGTGTCTTTTTTTGTTTTTGGTTCTGTTTTCAAGGCGTCAGTCATACAGTGTCCCTCCGAGTCGCTCCTACCACTCTTGCGGAACAGGTCTGACGGGATGGGATAGAAAACAGCAGCAGGGGGCTTGTGCTAGCCTTTGCGGCTCGTGGGAATTGACGATGCGAATGCAGATGCACACACCTTAGATCCGTCTTGGTTTTGGCTGGATAGCTGCTGTTGCGGTTCAACCAGGACGTATGTCCAAGGCGGAATATCTCGCGAATTGACTGGGTTTGAGGTGATGTGTGTGCAGGTGTTCGTGGTGCCAAGCCATTCATTCCCCCGCAACCCATTCCCACGCTGTACCAAGGCCGTCCCGGTCCCTTGCCCACGCACGTAAATATGGCAACACATGGAGGTTGTACCCCACACATTGCAAGGTGCCGTGATCGGGTGGTACAAATAATCCTTCTCGAAGAGCCATGCGTCTGGAAATGGTCTATTGACGAAGGCAAGCAATGAAGTTTGGGTACAACCCCCCCCCCCCCCCTCATGGCATACCTGTTTTGGCACAGAAAATGCAAAGGATGATGACAAGCTTCTGGTGCATCCTTGTGAAACTCAGTAGCCTAGGCCACCGGCATATCGCTCCGTCCCGGCATTGTAGGGATGCGAGGTCTCTCTCTATGGTCTACCAACTACCAACGTACCCTCTCCGCCCCCCAAGTGGTGGTCAATGGTCAAACCGCTAAGGAATGCAAATCACGAGTACTACCCCCCCCCCCCCCCCACCTCTGTTGGAAACCCAGACCCAATTGACCCGGAGAGGCTCGCACGCCTCGCTGGTGTCGGAAAACGTTGGCGGCTCCGGGGTTCCCTCGAACACTTGGGTGCCGGGATCGGAGTGCAGCGCTCGCAAGGCGTTGGACAAGGGCAAACGGTGAGTGCTGTATATGGCAGGAGGCGAGTGGTGGGACACGACAGCGGTTAGCGGTATAGCGGACGCTCCGACCGCACCTCTAGCTTTTCGGAGATGCGCTCGCTGTTGTGATTGATTGATTTGCCCACGGCCTATACATGCTGTGCTCCCGTTTTATCATTTTTTTTCGTTCCGTTTTCTCCCCCACATCTTTTTTGTCGGGTCCTGGGTGTGCATGGGAGACAGCACCGGCAGCGGCGACGACCCGATGATCGGACAGATACTTGCATCCGAGGTGAGAAAAACTAAGCCTAAAGAGCCGGCCGCCCTTATGGGAGGCAACCGTGTTGTGTTTGCAACTTGTTCTTTACTTTTGTCGGGACGCCCTGCCGAGACTTTCTGTGGCATTTTTTTCAGCTGAAAGATGTAGCGAAAGAGATAGCTTCACGTTCCTTCGTGTACTGTACGTTGCCCCCGGCTCGTGTACTATGCTTTGATAGCAGAACCCTGACGTGTTGATTTGACAAGACCCCCCTTTTGCTGCCGCGCTTGTGTGTCTGCCGTGTTTGTTACGTAGACGTTTTCTCGCATCCTATCGGACACCGTAGCGGAGCGCGTCAAGACTGAGATGGCGCGCAAGGTGAGGGACGGGGGGTACCGGGAGCGGGGCAAGTGCTTACGGTCTACGAAGCTGTGTAGCGCTCGCCAAATAAACAATAAAACACACTATAATAAATAGTACTACCGCTGAAAGAAGAAGACACACTAAAACATGCTATCGCTCTTCTTGGCGAGGAAGCGAGAGTTGAACTGAACACGCGTCCTACTCGGGATCACTCTTGACGTACCTGTCGCGCCACTACTCCGACGTTTGATGTGGGTGCAGGAATTCCATATGAAGGCTGACTCAGAAGCGATGCTGAGTAGGATGAGCCACGTGGAGCGCGTGGTAGAGGATGCCGGCGGGGCAATGGACGACATTGCAGTGAGTCTCTCTCTGTTCCTCTAGTGGTTTGTTTTATGGTCAACGCTCTTTTCTTAGTTTTTGTTTGTTCGTCTCCCTTAGTCATATGCACCGGTGCGAGCAAGCGGTGAAAATTTGATGGGCCAATCCACTACTGCAATTGGTTTTCGGGGAGTGGCTTTTCTGGGAACCCGGATGATTGAACGCTTGAGTTGTCCAAAGGCGGGGGGGGGGTGGCTTGTGAAGGTCGTGTGCGACGCACATGGGTGTGTTTAGTGCTCGGGAGAAGGTTTTGATCCTGTGCGTGCCCCCCCCCCCCCCGGAAAAAAAAAGGAGAAGGACCCTAATGTGGTAAAAAGGAAAAAACATTTCCTTCCCCCCCAG